TTTTTTTTTTAGAGACATAGAGTCTCACTTTGTCAACCTCTGTAGAGTGTGGTGGCGTCACAGCTCATAGCAACCTCCAGCTCTTGGGCTTCAGCCTCCTGAGTAGCTGGGACTACAGGCGCCTGCCACAACACCCTACTATTTTTTTGTTGCAGTTTGGCTGGGACCAGGTTCGAACCCACCACCCTCAGTATTTGTGGTCGGCGCCCTATTCACTGACCCATAGGAGTCGGCCAATTTACTTCAATTTTTAACAACTGCATAATATCCTAGTACATTAGGTACAAGGTCTGTGCAGTAAGTTTGCAAACTTGCCACTGTATGCTTACATTGGCGGCACTGTAAAAATAACCTGGTAAGGTTTCATAACCTTGGTATATCAGTGTCTCACAATTGTGTTCGTGTCAACATGTGGTGGCATCTTGCTGAGTGCCATTCATTATTGTTTTGTGTTTTTGTGTGCTGTTGCAAGAATGCTGGAGTTTGAATTAAAGGAATGAACAAACATTAGTAAATTTCTTGTTAACCTTGTTAAGTGTTAAGAGTGGAGTGAAATTAAGGACTGTTAGTCCTTGTTAGTCCAAGTTTATGGGGATAATGCTATGAAGAAAACAGCAGTATACAAATTGACTAAACATTTTTCTGAGGGGAGAGAAAGCATCACTGATGAAGAGAGGTAAGGGCAGCCAGAAAGAGCAGAAATGATGTAAACATTGCAAAAATTCATTGAATTATGCACCAAAATCATTGGCTGATTGTGAGAATCAAAGTAGATCAAGTAAACATCAACAGAACACTTAGGAAAATCTTAACTGAAAATCTTGGCCAACAACTCATTGCCCTTGCACCATACAGCATTGTCTGTAAGAGAATTTTCAGCTAGTATACAAGTAAGTATATTAAAACACTCTCCCTACCCACCTGATCTGGACACCAATAACTTTTTTATTTACCCAAAGATAAAGGAGGTATTGAAAGAAAGACATTTTGATGACATTAAGAACATCATGGGTGATACAACAATAGCTCTTATGGTCATTGTAGAAAAAAAGAGTTCCAAAATTCCTTTGAAAGGTAGACCAGGCACTGGTGTAGGTGCACAGCTTCCCAAGGGAAGTACTCTGAAGGTGACTGTAGTGATTATTTAGCAATGAGGTATGTAGCACTTTTTCTAGGATGAGTTTGTAAACTTAATTGTCAGACCTTGTATACCATAGGATTTTTTCTTCTACCATATATTTTTTTTTGAGATAGAGTCTTACTCTGCTTTCCCAGACTAGAGTGCCATAGCATCAGCCTAGTTTACAGCAACCTCAAACTCCTGGGTTCAAGTGATCCTCCTGGTTCAGCCTCCCAAGGAGCTGGGACTATAATGACCTGCCACAACACTGGCTAATTTTTCTATTTTTAGTAAACATGGAGTCTCATTCTGCTCCAGCTGGTCTCAAACTCTTGAGCTTGAGTAATGGCTCCCACCTTGGCCTCCCAAAGTCATAGGATTAGAGGCGTGAGCCCCCATACCTGGCCACTTCTACCATAATTTAACTAATACCTAAATGGGCATATTTATAGTTTTGCAAGAAACATCCCTGAACATATACGTATTACACAGTTATTAGCATTTTGTGGAATAAATTTCTCAGTTGGGTTGAAGGACATACTTTTTTTTTTTTAGGATGTACATTTTTTAAGAGACATCAAACTATCCTTTAAAAAACTGAAATATATACCTGCTAAAAAGATGTTTTGGAAGACAAAGATAAAGTCCTAAGCTGAAGTGACTCAGTAGACCTACAGATAAATGGAGGTAGAGGTAGGGAGATATCATTAAACTCATTTGAAAATCACTGAAAGAATAAAATCTGCATATCTAACTTTGATTGCTTTTTGTAGAATAATGAAGCTATATGTCTTTGAGCTTTTCTTGGTAACTCTTACAGATTCAAAATCTCCCCTAAGGTTATCCTAAAGTGTAAAAATACTGTTAAAGCAGGATGACATACCTGGAGGTGCTCCTCAGGAACTATAACCGGGCCACATTTTGTATGCACTGCACATTCCCCAGTACAGTATCTATGAGGATCATTTTCCTTCCGTAGGTATTGGTTTGTTGCACATTGTCTTCAATTCGTTTGTACAGCAAAGTTTAAAAAAAAAAAGAGCACTTAAAAACATGACCATCAACTGTTAGTTACTGTATTACCTCATTAATAATAGTCACTATTTTATATATTACTATTATAGTTACTATTCTATATAGTTCCTATTTTAGCCTACTTAAGTAGGCTAAGAAAGTATTTTGG